TTGATCTCCTTTTGCCTTCCAATTGCTCCTCTTGTGTGTTTCCAAGCCTCTCTAACGTGTTCCCCTCTTTTTGGCCTCTCAAACTAGGTTAAATATGCTTCCTCTTGTGTCCAAAAACCTCTCCTAGTCAAATTAGGCAAGTATTAAAATTCTGTTCCAGCGCGCGACACGGCCTGACACGCCCGTGTCACAGCCCGTGTCACGGGTCGTGTCAGGTATCAAGCCTCGGAATGCCCCTGTTCATGTGACACGGCCACCTGACACGGGCATGGTGCCCGTGTCACTGCCCGTGTCACATCCCAGCACTCTCGTTTTTTGTCCGTTTCACTCGTTTCTTCCATATTTCTCATCCGTGCATCAATCCATCATCATATCGGGGGTCCTAGGTACTCACAATGCGCCTCCAATAGCCACAAGCTCTAAAAATACGTGAAAATATCTACAAAACAAGCACGTGTAATACCTTTCCAACAAATAGAGAATTAAAGCATAAATATGCAATTTATACACCAATAACGCAATGACTAAGCTCTAGATACTCAATAAATATGGTGTAAAATCACACATGAACAATAGCTTATCAGTAATTTTTTAACTTATAGCTTATAACTTATGATTTATAGCTGAAAAGCTAGCTGATAAAAGTGTTTGGTAAAATTAGCTGATAAGCTAGCTGGAATAAAAAATTCAACTAGCTTATTTGAAAAGCTACATAAAGAAGCTTATCAAATAAGCTCGAGCTTTTTAAAAAAGCTCGCCTTACCAAACGAGGCTTATTTGAATTACAAGAAGCTTATAAGCTAACCAAATAAGCTATAAGCTAGCTTATTTGGCTTACCAAACACAGACTTAGTTCATTAACTTTTTTTTTTTTTTATTTTTTATATATGGTCCATTTTTATTTATAATTAATAATATATTGAAAAATCTAACTCTATCACTATGCCCAGTTAAGTGAAAAAAGACCTACATTACTTTATTACAGTGTCAACTAAGCAGGTAGAAATAATAATAAATAAATAAATAAAATTAAATATCTCACTAACATAATTAAAAAATATAAATTAAATTTGATTAGAGACAACAAATTATTCAATCGATTCTTATACTTTTTATCTATTTATTATTATCAATCAATATTTTGTTATTTTCAACCACGTTAGCGCTCATCATTATGTTTTGTTTCATAACTAGGAGAATACTCGTGTATTACTTGTGTGCTTGTTAAAAAATTATATTTAAATTTAGAAAGTAATAATATAATACCCGCGTATTACATGGATGCTTGTTAAAAAGGTGTATACATAAACTTAAAAATAATAAAAAAGTGTGTTTTGATTTTTTTTTTAAATATATTACTATTACTTATAATTAAAGTGACACTATCTCATATATTATTTAATCATCTTATATTATAATTTTTAACTTATATTGTATAACTACTTTGTAGGTAAATTTATTTAATTGATAAATATTTTTATTTACTTCAACCAAAATTAATACTAGTTGATTTGTTTTTTATTTGTAAATATAAATATAATTTTTTATTTACTTTATTATACAACATAGATATCAAATCGAACCTAACGAAAAGATGATTGATTTGATGTATTATGTATGGAAAATTGATAATAAATATTAAAAATAACTTTTAAAATGTATTTACTATTTAAGTTAGCAAAGTGTATTATAATTAAAATATAAATAATTAGTTTGAGAGAAAAAGAAAGATTGAGGCAAGAAATTTAATTTCTTATAAACTACTTCCATAATAGGAAATTATATTATAACACAAATAATGGGCATACAAATGGTCATAGATATCGAATATATTTATGGTTAATTCAAAGAATAATTATTTATTAACTGAAAGTAAATTAAATATTATCCAAACTTAATAAATGACGAAACATTAAATTTTGTTAATAGGACTTCGAAGTATATAAGTGTGCCACTTTGGCTTATCACATTCGAAAGTTATATTTATGGAGGATCATTTAAAATTCAAAAATAGTTTTCACTTCCCGTTTAAAAAATAAAAATAAAAAATGTGTCACTTACTAAAAAAACATAAACTAAAATATGATATTTCAACACACTACACATTTTTGTTACAAAAAGCATGCGGAGTTTATTTGCCTAATGATTAGGCC